ATAAGCATATGCCCGGGAGTCAAAATAATTTACCAAAATCACGGGAGAATTTAAATCCAGTCAAATCAAAGATACTTTTATTACTGTATTTAGGTGCAGATAGTCTTCCTTTTGACCAAATTCAGTTGACAATTCCAAGCTTCTTTGCCGCATAGTATTCAATCGACTTTTGTTAGCTTTCACGTCGCTTGACGAACTGCCGGACAGAATGTCACGGAAAACTATATGTCTGGGAGTCAAGATAATTCATTGAAATCACATTAGAATGTAAATCCAGTCTAATTAAGGATATTTTACTATATTTAGGTGCAGATAGTCTACCTTTTGACCAAATTCAGTTGAAAATTCAGTTGAAGCTGGCCGGTTCATCGCAATGAAGCCCAGCTATGTCGCTCGCGCTATCAACGGGATTTTCTGATTCGCTCTCTTATACCAGGTATATAATTATACTCAGAGTCAGCTGAGTCGTAGCTGATTTCCGAATCGGATGAAGAGAAAGCCATTAAATAGGTCGACAATATGTGTACAAGACAAATCCCGTTACCGACTTCATTTCCGGTACTACCTCTCTTGTCGTCATTTCCAGATATCGCCCCAGTCCTAAAATACACGGCCGACCTGTCTAAAAAAATATTCTTTAAAAATCTATAAAATATTCAGGTTTTGAAGAAATCGAATTCTGACTACAGGAATGCATTCAAGACATCTTCGAGATTAGCCACAACACGTCTGATTGTCTGGACTTGTTGTCAGGTTTTTATTGTGATTTTGTCGTTTTTTTAATTCGCTATATCTCCAAGAATATAGAATGCCCCATACAAATTTTTATATCTTTTTAAAGAACAAACTTTCCTCTACTCAAATCCAAAAAAATATCAAGAAATTCGCAACATTCCCGGGCAGGAAAAATTGGTATTCAAAAAGTCTGGTAAATTAAGAAATTTTTTACTCGCAAACTTGTCTACATTTTGACTGCTTTTTATGGTTTTAAAAACGAGCTTGCGAAGTCAAAATTTACATCCAGATGTTTATTATTATCTGTCATTTACGATTATGAAGTCGACTGATGTTTTTATTTACTTTAAATTCATCAAATAAGTCGTTTCTGAGAAGTAATATTCACGCGATGTTTTTGTCAATTTCGGCCATTTCTAGTCAGGTTCTAGTGTCAGGTTTTTCTAAATTTCTCGCGTTTAAAATAAACTTTTCGAAATCAAACCCCACCATGATTCTTAGTATATAATAGGGTCTCAATGGTTAAAATATGAAGGATTTTGATTTTTCACCATGTGTCGCCCTTTGCTCGGTGTTAGTGGGCATTCGCTCTTAAATAGAAGTCCGAAATCGGAAAATCAGAACTGACATTGAGTGGTCGGAGGTGTACCAAAATGTGTATCTTGTTACAAATGACGTGAAATTAAGAGCGTTCCAGTATAAAATTCTAAACAATTGTTTGTTTCTTAGCAAAGATCTGTTTAAATTTTTGATCTGAA